GTTCTAAAATAAACGTAGTTATGAGTTTTCGGATCCAACTTTGATCGTCCGTCTTATTTATTTTTTAAAAAAAAATTAAAAAATATAAGTCATGCACAAAATATTATTTATGTTTTATAATCTTATAACAATAAAAAATACTAATTAAAAAAAATTAAATAAGACGGACGATCAAAATTAGACACAGAAACTCATGTCTGCATTTATTTCGGGATGGAGGGAGTACTCCATATATCTTGAATTCTTAATTGGTTTTTTAGCACGGCTTACTGAAAGAACTTCCTGCAAACTGTCGGCTCCCAGCACTGCACGCATCATTTTGCCGTTGCAACTGGCGACTGACGCTGTGACGCATGTGAAATGTGCGCTACTACTACTCCATATTGAGTATGTTTTTCTTCGATTTTACTGTCGATCATATCGATCTGCCGCGTGCCCGCTGGTCGATCGTCCAGGTCCACGGGAACACGACACACAAACTACCGATAGAACTGGGTCACTGCAGTGCAGCATCCCGGTCGTTTTTACAGGCCGCACACGTGTGTTGGGTGTGATATTGGTCACAGATCGCAATAGGTAGCTGAATTGTCTCTTTTTTTTAAAAAAAAAAAAGCTGAATTGATTGTTGAGCTGTTCCAACTAGGTAATATATCTACATGTTTACTCCATGCGAGTCTTCATTAGAATTTTTATTTGTAAGTGCTTCCTGGGGTACTCTTCTGTATAATAGTTTTGTTTTGAGCGAGTTTCTAAACTCCTGATGCGCCACGTAACCAATCCAACTACATGGGGGTATCGCACACTAGTGGAGGTGACATCACAGATGGATCGCCTCGAAGAAAAAATGTGCACCCAATCAACTAGATGCGCCACGGAAATAGCTGCAAATCTAGCTTAAGCCCCTTTCCCCCCCCCCCGCCCCCCGTATTTAAAAAAATGGAAAGAGAAAAGCACATCAAACTCTGGCCACTATGAGCTTGTTAAAATAGTTTTCACGTCAGTGTACCAGACGGATCAGTAACCAAAATTAATCGATCAGCAACCACATCAAACTTTGGCCAGAAGAAGGTACAGATCGACCTCCGTGTTAAACTCACGAATTAAGACGCCGCGGCCGCGGGAACCGTGCATGATGCCGCGGCGTACTACGTGCGACGCGGCGTGGCGGCGCGAGGTGCTCGGGTTCGACACGCCTTGCTGAGACAGTGAGATGCACGTACTGAACTCGCGTACGACGAAACGAAACGAAGCCGTCGCGGAGAACAGAGGGGAAAAGTTGTGCGCGCGCTTGAGAATTCTGTCCGGAACGCGTCTAAATTTTCCACTTGATGAGAGCACCGCGCGGCGCGCGCGCCACCGGCGCCGGCGCCCGGAACAAGTCGTTTACGTGACATGCGTGCACAGACTTCATACACCGCGATCAGACATTGACACTTCTTCCCACATCTGACTATGGGAAGAAGTAGTATGAGACATCCAGCAAGCCAGGTGAGGTGAACCTATATTTTTTTCTTGCTCTAACTTTCTTGCCTCACGAATGATAATGGATGATTTTCTTGGGGTCACTTGATATTTGGGATCAGATCAATAAGCTGTGCGATCACGGCTGTGGCATGTTCAATGGGACTTTGATGTGTCAACTTAGTACAAGAAAAAGTATCTCAAGATACCGGTACGTTATAGCATCAAATCGTTTTCGATCGTTAAATCTAATAATGTCTATCCTATCTAGCTAGATCCAAAGATCAGAAATGATTTAATACCGTGACGTATTTTTTGTTAAACCGGATCAAATCTCTTATTTTGCGTGGCTTGCTCGCTGCTTAGCTCCTATTTCTCTGTGTATATTTTTATATAACATATTCTAAAAGTAAAACTAGAATTGATATACAACCGATCACTCTTGTTTTCATAGGTGCAATTATGCTTTGTTTAGAACTATAAAAATCATAGTTATATTCGAAAGCTACCAAGACGATCTAATTTCTCTCATTTCTCATACTCCATTAACTAGTTATTTTTAAGTCTTCCAGAGCAAATTGTACAGTACCTTTTCTATACCTCTTACTAATTTTTCTTATTTATATAGTTACAGCCCACTAAGTGCAGTTACTCCTGTAAAAGAGTCACCACTCACCGCGTTGAGCCATGTCACTGTCAATTTGTCATCCACTGGATTTCATATGGACGTTTAACAGTTCATTTTAGATTCCGTTACTCATTTGATTGCTACCCACATATATATACTTAGCACGTTTCACTACTGGGAAAAAATGTTTTTCCAAGGCGGTTCAAATATATTTTCGCAGACGTCAAAACCTTCTACCTGTATCCAAACGACTATAAAAATCCCTAATTTTTACAGGTGGACCATTTTCGCAAACAGCAGTTCGAATCTTCTCAGGCGCTGCAAGCGCTATAGTAGCCCACGCCTGCGAAAATACCCCCGACGCCAAAAAAATTCCCGCCAACCCCACCCCTCCCTAGGGTTTCAAATCACAAATCTCATCCAGAAAACAAAATACAATCACAGACATTGTAAACTTGCAACACAAAAGCATTTGATTCAAATCCACAGCAAATTAACATCAATGAACAAGTAAACTTAAAAAAATGACGTCGTCGTCGCCGGCGAACTCCTCCGTTACATGCGGTGGCTGCCGCCACCTCCCTCCCCCATCCGGCTGGATCTGGGAGGGGAGGGTTGGGGCCGCGAGCCAGCGAAATGGTCGGTGCTAGTCGTTGTCGTCGTCGCGTGGTAGGGCCATCGTCGTACTACGGTAGTCTTCGTCGTCGCAGCCGACGTCCTCCGTCGTGCCGCCGCCGACGCCCCTCCCCTCTGTCTGCGCTGCCGCCGACCCATCCGTCTGTGCCGTCGCCGACACCCCTCCCCTCCGCCGGATCTGGGAGGAGAGGGGCAACGACGCGGCCGACGGTAGTTGTCGTCGTCGTCTCACTCGCGTAGGCGTCATCCCCTCTACCCGCGCCGCCGCTGCCGCCCTCCGCCCACGCCGACGCCGACGCCCCTCCCCTCGGCCGGAAGGAAGGAAGGGGAGGGGAGGGAGCCGGAGGGAAACGAGAGAGAGAGAGAGAGGAGGAATGAGTGTGTGGGGAGACGGGCGACAGATACGATATGACTTAGATTTTTTTTTATGTTGGCATTATTTTTGCGGGTGGACCCACTTGAGATTCCAGCTGCAAAAATCTTATTTTTTTCAGGTGGACCTCTTAAGTGGTCCGCCGGAAAAAAAACTGATTTTCACAGGCGGATGACAAAAATCCACCTCGGTTCATATTTTCGTAGGCGGATATTTGGCTCTGAGGGTCATACTCGTCTGGAAAAATAAAAGGCCAACATTGCTAAAAAAATTGTTTTTCTAGTAGTGTTTGTTGAGAAATACGCACGATCTTTAGCATGCTCCCACATTCCAACATAAATAGTATTATATTTGTTGCCTAAAAATATATATATATATATGTTATATTTCTTAAACAAACAACTATAAGACATGATTTTTTACTAACAAACTTCACCTTCAGAGCCCCACATAAAATTTTATAAACCCGGCAAAAAAAACTTCTACTTAAAAGTATTATCTATAAATTCACGCATCAACGTACAGTGCATCACATAGTATATTAGATCTGGTGGTCAGGCTGTTTATTGTTTAATGAATATGCATTAATCCTCACAACCCATAACCGTTCATTAATGGAAGAGGAAAGAACAATACTTTAAGAATTAAGAGTTGGCGAATCTAATTATTGGGTGGTTCTCCGTTCTTTCCCCCTCCCCCCCCCCCCGGGTATTAGACGTACACAACTCACACATCAAAATCCAGTTTAAAGCTCATTTCATACACATTATTGTTTTTATATCAATTAGTTCAATTCCTATAAAACTCCTCTCTCATAATCATATGTTCCAAAAGAGACCTGAATAATCTGCCTCTTAACCATTGTTGGATAAACTACCAAACTAATAATACTATATCACTAAAGGAAAAAAAATGTATGGGAATAATGTTAGAAAATGGAAATGATAAATGGAAACAAAAACGAAAATGACATTGTTGTTGTTTTCGTATTTTACTGTATTTTTACGAAGATTACTTTTTTATAGTATGGTGATTACCATATTTCTAAATACCCTAATATCTATGATCAATGTATTTATTTGATCCGTAGCTTTAGAGGTCCGTCAACCTCTCAACCAAATCCTTAACTTGAGTTCATAGCTAAAAGAGAGACAATTTGTAATCTACCTAGTGCAAGCTTAAATTTATTTGGTATATTATATAGTTATGTAAGCTAAATATGTGATTTTGCAGTCCATTTTTTTAAACATTTATTATCCCAATCGATGTCGAGATGTTTCCGTGTGTATTCAATTTTCGATATTGTTTTTCGTTTAACATTTATATCCAATTTCTAGAAAATATATGGTTACTAAAATGGTTGAAGTTGTTTTTCGACTTTTTTTTTATCGCATAGAGGAACCAGTTCCTGTAACTTACCGCTCTCTATGTCCATGTCAACTATCCATGTTAGATAGCAGCGTATGTTAGAGAAGTTCCTTTTATGCATAGGCCGTGTTTAGTTCAGCGCAAAGTTTGGATTTTGGTTGAAATTGAAGATAATGTGACTGAAAAGTTATATGTGTATGACAAGTTGATGTGATGGAAAATGACTGAAGATTGGATCTAAACTTTGTATCTAAACACAGCCATAGAGCCATACATGGTGTGCAGTGTGCACACGCATGTGCGAGTGCGAGCGATCTTTTTGCAGTTAAAAGTACATTATAGGTCCTAATCATATAGTCACCCTATCAAAGAAAGAAGCTCTTTAAGGTGGTGAAAAAATAATGCGAGGAAAAAAACAGAGAGAAATTTATTTGCCCCCCTTGCAGAGCTGCCACCTTTCCACGAAGTTGCCAAAATTGACCCATTGGAGCACGTTTTTGCCAAGGCGCCCCCCTCTCGGCCACACCACGATAAATACCCCCCGGACGCCTCCCCGTTCCAACCTTACTCTGCAGCCTCGGAGCAGCCGCCTCCCTTCCAAGAACACACAACGCAAGAGGAGCAGAGCAGTTCAGATCAGAGCAGGGAAGGAGCAAGCACAATGGGGAGGGCTCCGTGCTGCGAGAAGATGGGGCTCAAGAAGGGTCCATGGACGCCGGAGGAGGACAAGGTCCTCGTCGCCCACATCCAGCGCCACGGCCACGGCAACTGGCGCGCCCTGCCCAAGCAAGCCGGTGAGTGACAGCGGCTCGTGTTCGGTTCAGGTCGTGTACCTTTGGCGGCGCCGGTGAAGCAAAGCTAAAATGGGTTTTGATGTCGCAGGGCTGCTGCGTTGCGGCAAGAGCTGCCGGCTCCGGTGGATCAACTACCTGCGGCCGGACATCAAGCGGGGCAACTTCTCCAAGGAGGAGGAGGACACCATCATCCATCTCCACGAGCTGCTTGGCAACAGGTACACACGCTGCTCTGCTCCTCCTTAATTGCAGACTTATCTGATCTGATCCCCCCAAATTTCGCTGCTCCTGGTTTGGAGCAATGATTGTTGCTTGCTTATGTGCTTCAAATGCTATGAGAGGGAGGTTTATTCCTTTTTTATTTATTTAGTTATTATTAGTTATTTATTACCATTGTGGAGGGGCATATACTGATATGTTATCCTCCTGGGCCACCTGCTCTCGATGCAAATAGAGAGAAAATATATTGCTAGTCGTAGGCCACTTTTCTGTAGCTAATTACATCACTGATGATGCGCGAGATGTGCTAAAAGATTCCATCTTGTTTGGCTCTTCCGGTGACCCCCCTTGAATTCAGCGCTGCAAAAACATGCGCTTTGCATTAAACAACCGCATGTGATCCCGACGAGGGAATCAAATCACGCGATGATAGCAAAGCTCTAAATCAAAATGAAGTCATCTGAAATAGCCAAACAATTTTTTTTTTTTGACAAAATGAAACATGAACTTGGGCACTGATCCGCTCTGAATTCTGTGCTACGCAGGTGGTCCGCAATTGCCGCCAGGTTGCCCGGGAGGACGGACAACGAGATCAAGAACGTGTGGCACACCCACCTCAAGAAGCGCCTCGATGCGCCGGCTCAGGGCGGTCATGTCGCGGCGAGCGGCGGCAAGAAGCACAAGAAGCCGAAGAGCGCGAAGAAGCCAGCCGCCGCCGCCGCCGCGCCGCCGGCGTCGCCCGAGCGGTCCGCCTCGTCGTCGGTGACGGAGTCCTCGATGGCCTCGTCGGTGGCGGAGGAGCACGGCAACGCCGGGATCAGCTCGGCGTCCGCGTCCGTGTGCGCCAAGGAGGAGAGCTCCTTCACCTCGGCTTCCGAGGAGTTCCAGATCGACGACAGCTTCTGGTCGGAGACGCTGTCGATGCCGCTGGACGGGTACGACGTGTCCATGGAGCCCGGCGACGCGTTCGTCGCGCCGCCATCCGCCGACGACATGGACTACTGGCTCGGAGTGTTCATGGAGTCCGGCGAAGCGCAAGACTTGCCGCAGATCTAGAGAAAGAGAGAGAATTTTACCGTTTCTTCGGTTAATTGATTTGTTTTTTCTCTCTCTGCCGCCATCTTGCACCGGAGGGACATAGCTAACAGACAAGAGTGTCCATGAGCGAATCATCAAGCAGGAAGAACGCGAATCATGCGATGCGATGCGATGAGATGCACCCAGTAGCTTTGATAGTTAATTTTCTTTTTTTACCTCCTTCCTGTATGTATAGAAACAGAAGAGATCAGTGATCGAAACCTGAGATCCTTTCTCACAATGTGCAAACTGGATCATCAGAAAACGGGCTCTGCGTTTCTCATTTGATTAATTAAATTCAACTTGCACGCTAATCCTACTAGTGTTCTGTTCTTTATTTTCCCAGAGGGTACAGTCACTCGTGTTCGGTTACGAAATCACATCATCACGTACTGAAACCAGTGTACGGGTTCTTGTCTCGTGATCTGTTCCTCTCCTGTGCACGCATGACGCAGTTGAGACGAAACGCTAGCCACTTGTTTATAAGAAAAATGAAATCCTGGGAAAAAAAAAAACCCTGTGTAAAGGGACCGCTAAACTGAAATAAGATTTCTTTCGCGTAGTTTACAGTTAAGCAATGGCACTGGTAGATCTGGCTGTCCTCTCAATGATTCTGCATCTCCTTTATTTGATCTTGGAAAAAAAAGTAAACGAAGAACATGCAGTGTGCTGTTTCACACGAACATGTATGTGATGACGTTTTTCTGTTCCAGCCTGTGTAATTTATGTTTAAGCTGTGGAAACAGTATTCAACTATACAGGCAAGCGCATGCGTTTGTTTATGTGGGAGTTCAGATACTGTATTGTCGATTGTATCTTTTGAGCTGTTCCAGATGAGTAATATACACTGCTCATTATCACCGACAGTTTGATGAGCATCACAGCAGTTTGTCCATAGACAATTATCTTGATATTAAAAAAGCTACTTCCTAGATAAGAGATTCTCATTGTTCTAAAAGGATTTGTGAAAACTTCCCAATTGTTTGTCAAGTCCAAGGAGTTGCCCGGGTCGACAAATAGAGTGAAGAGGATGGATTTTACCCATTTGGTCCAGGGTTCATCTATAATGAGAAGACAGTGTGGGCAAAATGTATCACTTGGTGTACTTAATGGTTTTGTGGGAACTTCCATTTGGAACGAGACCTTGTCTAAATTGATAAAGCACATTTGCCAATTAACTCTCAACAGTTTTTATTATTCTTAGTTAAATGTATATTCCATTGAGCAGGTTTTGTGCATGTTTTTCTTGTTTTCTTAATTCTGTTCACATTATCTTCAAGACTTCAACCCTTCATGGTGGAATCCCAATTATTGGTCTATGCAACATTCCAACTCATCTGGTTCAAAATTTGGTACTGATAGATCAGACTCACTTTACCATAGTAGTAGTTCATGGCCATAGGTTCAGGCCAAATACCATTTTCAATACTAGTGGAGGTGGCTGCTATTAGCTCAATTATATTCTTTCGCAAGTTTTGTCCCTGCATGAATGTATCTATACACGTTTTTCAGATTATTTTGGTCCTAGTTTCCACCCGGACCAAAAGGGCAAAGAAAAGGTGTCTTTTATTATACAAATCATCTCAACATAAAGAACTCACACGCTTGCTTACACGTAGTACTGATTATAAAATGCAGACGTGTGTGCAAGGACTGTTTTCAAAACAAATTAATGCATACAGAAATGAATAGCAATGAGAGTTTATTTATGTTATCTCGAGTCTGAAGTCAAAAGTAGCGATACACATTTTGTAAAGTGAAGATCTTGGATGAATATCTGTCATTTTGTAAAGTGAAGATCGACTCATCCAGGTTAATGAGATGATGCAGGAAGCTTGAGAAGTGAACATTTCACAGCAATAACTGAAATCAGCTTCATAATGTAGGATAGAGATACATTTGTCATTTTTTAGATAATGGGAGCAGAAGCTACAGCCAACATTTGTCATCACAGCACATGTTTGTGCTAGTGCAGATTTGATTAATCCAAAACAATGAAATGATTGCACCACTAAGCCTACTAGCTAAATAATGTGGCCTCAATGCAAGCAGCCATCACCTTTTCAGAATAAGACTACTGATCCTTTGGTCTTTTGATTTATTAATTCTTTCTTCCTTCTTGCATTAGAATCATGCAACGCCTAGACCTGTTAGTTAATTTGTCCATTTATCTGGTATGATCAATTGAGTGTTTTAGTGTTACTTAAGTCGAGTCATCCTGAAGTCATAAGGGTACTAAACTTTCTCTCTTCTTAAAATATCATCCCCTTTTGTAAGGAAAAAAAAACGATTCTAATTAAGTGACTGAAAACGACACCTGAGTATATGCATTGTTCAGTGTGTTCCTACTGGTTTGAAATGCAAGCATTAGTGCATTACCTAATGTGATGTTATTTAAATTGACGTGCATGTGATTGATTTGGAGGGAAGTGTGAGGAACAGAGTGAGAGATGGGCCAGATCCCCCGTACAGATTTCTCCTTTTAATAAAGGAAAAATTGCTCTTTTGCCACATAGTTGACGAACGTCCTCTCTTTTGCCACAAAGTTTAGTGACTTTGCTAAATGTCACATAGTTGAGTTCAAATCGTTAACTCTGAAGGAATAGTCACAACACCGAGGTCTATATGCCTAGCAGCTAGCTTGTCAATTTCTGAAATGGAACACAAAACTATATTTTAGGAGTTTCTCTGAACTGTTGCCACAAAATAATTTCTCGATACCATTATGTTAAAAAAAAGATTAATTGGTCCCTTCTAGCCCATTGTCAAACAAACACGCCACTGATTGACATCATACAGGAATGAACAAATGGCAATTGAGCTGCGAAGCAGCTCGTGGACGACACTGACTTCAACTTGTAAGCTTGCAACGACTTGTCAATGTGTCTTCTTTAGTCGACGGATATAATCTAGCCTGTCATGTCTGATGGGGATGTACATATGGACTAAAGGAGTTTCAGGTCATAGTTGCTAAGCTCTATGCACAAGACATCGCCGACGAATGTGATTTCCAGATCTCCATGTTTCTGACGAAAAGCCCCCCCTCTTCTGCATCAAGAAATTATTTCGAGCTGAATTATATTTGGATCGTTGCAGAACGGTGAACAGTACCTTACTAATTTATGATGCCGTAGAATCACGGCAGATCCTTGATATCCCGACTGCTGTCTCGACATGATTTGTTATTTAGTATTCAGGTAAGAATTTTGTCAGGTACAGTTCCGAGAACTTCACGTCGAAATGCTCCGTATTTCTGCCTGAAAAAAGGAATAAATTGACTTCATGTTCAGAGTGTGTGTCTATCACGAAAGCACAGACTGGCAGAAACCATACTGCAATTTGATACTGCCAGTTCCAGGCAACAATTGTCGGCGATCCCAGAGCTCCATAGTGTAAAAGACTTTGGTTTAAGGTCTCCTAGTATTCTATTTGCAGAAGGAAAGAACGAAACTGCTCACATATGTTTGGTCATTTTCGCAATGTTTAACTTTAATCAATGCCTCCAGTTTTTTCCTGGTTTTTCTTCTTGCGTGTCTGTTGGTTCAGTGTAAACGCATTATCAGTAGCCTTTTCTTCTGTTTATATCTCTATATAGACATGACACCCAACATGTCGATATCTCTCTCTTTTTTGCAAGTTAAAACATCTCCTTCTGAAACTTCCTTGAACTATTAAAGTATTCAGCGTCACAACCATAGGACAGATGGCTTGACTGGCTGATGGTGCCATTACACACTGCTCACCGACGGTTGAAGAAAACGGACAAAAAGAGTGCAAACTCGTAAAGGCAATGTCATGTCAAGCAAGAGGAAAACAGCACATTCGTTTCAGAGATTTTTTTTTTCTTCGTTGCTAACAATCTGTTTCCGAGCAGGGTAGAAAGGTATGGTAGAGGCGAGGATGATGGCTGCATGCATTGAAGTTGAAGATGATGTGAATTTAGGCAGAAGAAGACGGGGCAACTGGCAACGCGTAGACGCGTACGAAGTTGTAGAGATATGCTTGGGTACATTCTCTGCATTTTGATGTGTCTGCGCCGCTTGCATTTGCATTGCAGCCTGGCTCTCTGAACTGTGACGCAGCATTTGTCCTTCCTGGACGTGTATGAGCTGGAGCCGTCTGATGGCTGCTAAGTGGTGTGCATAGATTGAACCTGCGTTGCTAACATACAAGAACAGATACAGAAGAGGAAAAAAAAATCTATAGCAGCCATTGAAAAACCAGGTATCATGTACGCTACGCAGCCCCAATCAAATCGTCCAATCGCTTTTAGACGAGCATATCTGGCAATTATTGTTACACAGTGAAAGAGCATGTAGCCTAGTGGTTATAGTGACCTGAGTAGCATTCTAAGGTTTTAAACTAAGTTCCTAATTAAAAAAAAAAGATGCATATATCCGATTGAATATAGAGGCCGGGTAAAAAATATTGTTCTCTAAAAAAATAAAAAAAAATTGTTACACGGTGTCATCTTTTTATATTCTATATATTTACATCTAATATTTTTTTTAAAAGAAAAATTGTTGACAAATATATAGCTAATCTCACGATCTTCGTTTCGTGAAAATAACGTATTACCACGGGCTTCTTGAAAAATACATAAAAATTGTATTTTAGTTACATGTAAGCTATAATGTAATTATAATATGATTGTATAAATTGTATTTAAGTTACATGCAAGTCATAATGTAATTATAATATGATTGTACTTTATTTATATCTGATAAATTTTCTTCTAAAAATTTATTATGGATAAATGTATATAACTTGTCTTTGAGGGGTTTGTGATGGAGTAGCTGAGGGAGACGGAGAGAGATTGTGTTACATGGGCCGTGATGTTGGCACGTAGTACTACTTCCCGTCCTACTATTGCGGTGCACGTGAGCCCAACAAAACACCAGCTTGGTGGGAAGCCCAACACCACCAATGCCGCCCTGCGGCCAGGGCGCTAGGGCTTGGCCCAACCAACAAGGTTCAACGCTTCCCACACCCTGCAGGCCGCAGCCCAGTCTCCGGGCGCGCAACGAGGCGTGATCTGTTGCAGCCGCTTCCGTGGCCTAGGCCGTCGGCCGTAGCGCGCATCGCCTGGTCGACCGGGATGGCGGAAGCGGCGATTTGGTAAATCTGTGCATGTATGGATGGCGGAAGTGACGGTGGCACGCTTTGCTCTCGGACGGGATCGCCTTGGACTTTTTGTGTGCAATGCAATGTACTTCTACTGTAGTACAGTTCCCTATTTCATAATATAAGATTTTCTAGCGTTGCCCATATTTCATTTAGATGTTAATGAATATAGACATATGTATATGTTTAGATTCATTAATATTTATATGTATGTGGATAATGCTAGAAAGTTTTACATGGTAAAACAGAGGAAGTAATTACCAGTAGAGTACATTGCACTGCACGGTGTAATGTAATGCAGATGCTCTTGTTGCCGGTACAGACAGACAGAAAGTAGGTACCGTTAAAAAGGCAGTAATGCGAAGCAGAATCGGCACGTCGCTCAGGTCCACTGGTAATTAGTGCTCCAGAACTAGGATCGCTGCCACCGTCGACCTTAAGCAAAGATTTGTGCTCAGGCAGTACGTTATCGTACCAAAAGAAATGTCAGCGTAAGCGTAATATCCCAACTTGCCTTACACCGACAGGATTGAGAAGGCCCAGCAGGCCTGGCTGGACATCACTCTAACAAGCAACATACACGACGCGTTGCCTACACGGCACCAGAACACATCGAAGGAACAATCGCGTACAAGGACACGGATACAATCTACTACTACTACACACATTGCACCTTAAACACCGGTGCGGCGGTGCCAACATTTTTCTTCAGGATCGCTGGAGGTAGTCACAGAAGAGGTGACCTACTACAAACACGCTATTAGGATCCAGGATTCAGATGCAGGATTCGTTGGCCTGCTCGAACCGGTCGGCCTGCGCGGCCGCGGCGTCCTCGGACACGAGCGCCTCCAGCAGCAGCGCCTTCACCTCCCACGAGTCCAAGGGGAAGCCCTTGCGCGCGTAGGCGTTGAGCAGAGCCGCGCTGCCTTGCTTGACGAGCTTGGCGAAGGCGCTGCTGCTGCCATTGTCGTCGGTCCTCGTGGTGGCCTCCAGCACGGTGAGCCGTGGCCCGTACCTGTCGATGGACCTTGAGCCGAACACCTTCGACACCGCCGCTTCCTGAGGGATGATGTTGGGCCATTGCTCAGCTCCACTGCTCCAGAATCTGCACATCATTCAACGGAAGAGAACACCAGTTCAAGTCCCAGATATTGATATATACTCCTATCCTATATTGGTTATGAAACTACAGTTCATGAAACTGGTAAAGATAGCATTGCACATGAGCAGCAGCTGGTTTGTATAAACCATTGCTGTGATTAACTTCCCCAAAATACTGGACATGGGTTGCTGATCTGATCTGAATGCATAAGCTAGAGTGGATCGCGCTGGGTTATTATGATAACAACCCCCACAAGGCCATAACACCATTCTTCAAAACAGAACGCCCCACAAGACCACAAAATACAACAACCAGTGCTTGAGAAGGACGAAATGGCCTTAGAGGCTTAGATGCGTGCAATTAACGAAACTCATGTGGCTAGCCCTGCCCAGTGCCCGCGGGACACAGAGTACACGCCTCACAACACAGAGTTGTTATGATGGTTGCGCTGTATTTATTGTAGGAAAATACTCCTACAGCACAAGCGAACTTGTAATACAGAGATACTGCTATTCTACTGCTGGAAATACAGCAATATACGCTTCTTGAGACAAAATTTATTGTGTGCATTACAAGTGAATACGGAAAGCAGCTACACAAAGTGTACTGTGTGTACCCCAGCAGGAAATGAGGGACAAGATGACATTGATATAGATGATAAACCTCCCAAAGTAGTACTAGTAGAAGATTACGCTTGGCATACACGAAAAGGGATTTCAAATGTTTGTGGGCTCCGAAAAATACCATCTTGCAACCTTGTGGAAACAGGATACCTGACATTCGTGCTGGACTTTCTTGGCTAAAATCTGCAAGGACATTTTCAGATCTGCCCCACCACAAAAGGAGGTCGCTTTGCACATACTACAAGCCTAAAAAAATTGTACTTCTGTATTTTCTAAACTCAGGTATCCATTGCTCATTTCCTGAATATTGGACGTGTAGAAACCAGCAGTAGAGTATCAGTTTGCAAAGCCCGCCGGTTGCCATGCCGCATGCATTGGCAAATGTAAGTAGAAATCAATAACACAAAAAGGGTTTCTTCACATGGGACTACCCAAGATTCGATCTCTAAACTAAAGAACAACGCATAGCCTCTAGATGCCATAAGAATAAGCAGAAAAAAGATGACTTTTCTATCTGCTTATGCAGAGGGAAGCCAAGAAACTGATGGAGGAAAGAATGGGGATGCTTACTGGGGCGTGCATCTCCCGACGGCCCTGGTGTAGAGGTACCCGGGCCACCCACCCGCGCCGCCGCGAGCGCCGTCGGCGACCGTACTGCTATCGTCTTCCTCCTCCTCCACCACGTCGCCTCCCCCGTACATCCTCCCATTTACGGCCTCGAAGGTGAAGGACGAGCAGAGGAGGAAGAGGAAGCAAGCCAGGGAGCGGAGGAGCGCCATGGCCGATGGAGCCTCTGCTGTCTCTCTCTCTCTCCCACACACACACACTGACACACGCTCTGGCTGCTTCCGCCAAGAAAGGCTCTGGACTTAAATGGAGCCCAATTTGAAACGACGACACGCACTGTGTGCAGTGGCTGGACCGGAGTAGGAGTAGTAGTGTGCTCTCTGATCCCGTCCTTGGGATGCACGTGCACGGGGGCCCAAGCATGACTGCTTTTATCTTTAACGTGCCATCCCCTTTGGTGTGAGATTTTCATTATTTTGAGGAGGCTGTTGGGAGCACTCCAATTTCTTTTCTGCGAAGGGAGCACACCGAGGAGTAACTGCAAAGAGAGCTTGGAAATTTCTGAAATCCAACTATTCTATTCTGCCGTCTCCAACCAATTTTTCGCTGGTCGTTAATGAGCCTCAAATTGTTGATTTAACACAGTGCTTTCACTACTAGTCGTACGAGTTCTTTTTTCTACAGCAATGCAAAGGTGTGACCACTGAATGCAAGGGTGAGGACGAAATACTACTACTAGTAGTAGTGCGCAGAAAAGGTATCCAATGAGCAACGTGCGAATTTTAGCAGCCTTCTGTAACGGGAGAGTGACACAGATTCCCTCCTTGACGTACTTCCGATTTTCTTTGAAACAGCGTGTCCACAAGAATCCAACGAGGCAGCGATAGAGAGACGTGACACTGGAGGAATGGAGGGGTTTTTTTTTTTCTTTGTGTTCTCAATTTTGCGTGTTCTCAATGACACGTGAACATGCAACAAGTTCAGAAAAAAATGGAAGGAGAATAGGAGCCTGTTTGGGAGAGTTTAAAATTCTAAGAAGCAGTTGGTTGGAATCTGCAAAAGCTGGTTGGAAGAGCTTTTGAGAATCTGCAAAAACTGGTTTCCCAGCTTCTGATTTCTAGTTTATTTTTTGATTCTATAACTACAGCTTCTTAAAATCTGGATTAAAAGCTGGACTGTTTGGAGAAACTTATGATTCTGGGAGAAGATGCAGCACCTAAAAACTCCCAAAACAGGATCTAGATCAAGTGCAGAATTGTGAATCACACAACCCTGCGCAAGTACTTCCGTCACCAACGCTTGGCGCCACCATTAACGTTGATCGGCATCACCGGATCGATCTCAACGAGGTTCCATTCGTCCATGCCGCCGCCGTAGTCCTCTTCTTCTTCTTCTTGACGCTGCTCCTCCGAATCTGATCCATCAAAATACTCCTTGGTAGTCGTGTCGTCCTCTCCACCGTCAATGGTAGCGGAGTTGCTTGAATCATGTTCGTTTTCACGGTCGCCGGCAGCAGGGGAACTCGAATCTTCTTCCACCTTATGGTTAAAGGTAGCATGGTTGCTCAATTCCTCAGAATTACTAACGTATTCAGGCAGCAGTTCAACGTCTCCGGCGACGTCAGCATCCCCTGCACTGGCGTCCACCGGGGTGGACACGTCCGGCAAGCTGCCGGCCGCCTTGTTCAACAGGAAGGCAATCACGCTGCAGAGAAACGCGAATCTCAACGCGCCCAGGCGGAAGTCGAGCACGAAGCACACGACAAACACCTTGGCGATGCCCATCGCGCACACCGCCACGGCGTGGCCTCGGCGCCTGATCACGCCCGCGGAGCCGATGGCCTCGACCTGACTGGCCACTTTGAGCGTCGCGAGGTTGCAGGCGGCCAGGAACGCGAGCGCCACAGGCCGCGAGGCCCGGGAGTCCAGCGTGATGCACAGCAAGCAGGCGTCGACGAGGTAGGTGACGAGGGTGATCTCAGACCAGAGTAACCCCCAAGCGTGCGGTACCTCGGCCATGACAGCGTTCCTGCCGGCAGCGTCGCGGGAACTCCACAGGTGAACCTTGTTGGCTTGCATTAGAGCGAAGCAGCACATCGTGGCGAAGCATGCGAAGCACGCAGCGAGCGACGCCATGCCGCTGGTGACGGCGCATTGGAAGAACACTGGCGTGCTGTACGTGAAGGTCGCGGTGATCCAGACGACGAACAATGTGGCGTCAAGCTTGGAGCTCGAGGTTGTCATTGCTTCCGAGTTCGGCGTCGTCCTGATCCCGTGCGCGCCGCTGCGCCTGAGGCCCGAGGCTGCCCGGCGTTCGGACATGGTGATCAGAACGGCCACTGCCAGATTGATCGCGCCGGCGATCAGGCGGAGCCAGCGCAATGCCGCGGCTGATGCGTCCGTCATGTCGCGCCACTTCGATTCTGCGGCCCTCGTTTCCAATCTATCGACCGCGTCCGTGACGAGCGCGCGGGCGCGGCGGGCGCCCCCTTCGGCCCTGGCGTAGAGAAACGCAAGCGCCGGATGGCATCGCGCCGGGTCCCTCAGGCGCCGCGTCTCGGCCTCGACGGCGGCCCTGGCGTAGCAAGCCCCTTTCTGCAGGCAGGCGTCCACGGCGGCGAAGACGCCGTCGATGTGCTCCGGCGACAGCTCGCGCGCCACGAAGGGGAGGGAGACGGCGAACGTGGCGCAGAACGCGAGGCCCGACGACACGCACGCGGAGGCGCCGACGCAGAGGCACGACGCGACGACGACGGAGGCAGGGACGGCCATGGCGCGGTCAGGACAAAAGTGGTTGATCGCGCGCGATGCCGGCGGAAGGAAAAAAAAAAGTTGGGGTTTTGCATGGATAAAGCAGTTCGTTCGTCGAAACCAGACTCCTCTCCCCCATACAGATTAGGCTACCTACACGCATGTTTCAAATTCCAATTCGGTTTGGTTTGCATTGCAAACATGTAAAAGAACAATCAAATTCCAATTCGGTTTGGTTTGCATTGCAAACATGTAAAAGAACAATCAAATTCCAATTCGTTTTGGTTTGCAACTCGATGTATAAAAAGGTAAAAAAATCGATCACGGTGGGACTCGAACCCACAATCTCCCGCTCCGGAGGCGAGCGCCTTATCCATTAGGCCACGCGACCATACGTTCAAGTTTTTCGTACATAGCTTTAACTATAAAACCACTGTAGTCTCTGCTAATCTCCCATGGAGAACAATTGAAAGCTAGTATGGCTGCTAACGACAGCTGAGTCCATTCGATCTGTACATGACGCGAGAGAATATGGCTGGTTCGATAACACACATCACCTGTATATCCTGAGTTCCTGATTAAAGATCAGACAAATGATTTGCTTCAGCGATTTCGTCACGGAACGGATGTTGCATCCGTGCTGCACATGAATTAATTCCATGTCATGTCGCACGTTTCCACGCCATCCATCTATTGGATGCTCGATCGTATCCAACTGGAACAAAGCTACTAGTACGAGCCAGCAGCCAACAGGATCGATCGATAGTTACAGATCACCAAAGAGTAGTATATCCCAGTGTTTACGATTCCGACAGGCCCTTCCGTTTCGGGCACTGGCGGAATTCGGAATTTCGTGAAATCCGGTGGAAAATCGGTAAATTTCAAACAAATTTCATAAACCAAAATTTAAATACAAATTCCCTGAGTTTGTCGACAAGTTCTCGAAAACCGGTCGGTTTTTGGCGAAATTTCGATCGAAATCATTGAAATTTCGATCAGTAATTCAGTCCATGTAAGTGTTTTCCTTTTTTTAATTATTTATTCTTTTCTTTCCTGATGTAAGTTTCAGTAAATACACACACTACATCATTTTTTTCGAAAATTTATATCCCAATAGGTTCTATGAATATCATAGTATTTATAAGATTTTATTTTATTTTTTCTTTTTTTATCAATTCAAATTTGAATTTGGATGAAACTCCTCGAAATCTCAGACGATTTCTACTTTCGAGCCTCATCGAAACGTCGAAATTTCACGAAATCCGACCGGATTTCGTCGGAATTGTAAACCTAACTGCGAGTCCACAATTTCAGGATGCTTGCACGACCTCGCTCACCTAACCGATTTGTCCAGTCTCATCTACCGTGAGCGCCTAGCATACTGAGTTGGAATTTCGATTAACGGAGATGTGCTGATCTGCTGATCGATCCACAGCAATAGACTGACAAACCATCTGGCAGTCGTCGTGACGCATGCATGCACGTAGTGTCAATATATTGAGCTAGCTGCGAGCCCTGTGCACGTGGTACTGGAACTAACGCGAGTCCACGGCACTTATATATCCGGCGGCTATGTCCCGGCCTCACGGCCTGCTTCGTTCGATAATTCGACTGGGAAACAGCCAGCAAGCACCCGGCCGTCGAGCTTATCTCGCTGAGTCAAAAGTGCAGGCATGCTCGCACATAGGTCCGGCTCTATCCGCCAGCCGTGAAACGAGTCAGCGCAGCGACAACGCAGAACACATCGTAATCAAGCTCTAACAAAGTCACAGCTCACTGGAGAGAACAGGAGGAAATTAAATCACGTTGGCAAAAATGAAAAAGGCTTGCTGGGAATTCAATTAGTCCAGCTATAGCCGCCTTATTGCCCTTCCAAGTTCCAACTAGAAGAGCTGCACAGGCGAAATCGGACACGAACGTTGTTACTGGGAGGTCTCGTGGTGAATATTCCGCCGCTCGGTATCTTTGATGTGAACTTAACTTGTCTTACGTGGATGATTCCGTGTCGGGTTCCAAGTCCCGGCGCGGGTCTCACCTCGTCACCGGAGGTTTTTCCAGTGTACCATGACAGATTGAGAGATCCAGTCCGATGGCGATCGGGGGGCGATTCACAGTCCGATCGCTCGGTACTTGCGTTTGCATGATTGAGCAGCTGAAACCAACAGCTCGGCGAGTTCCGACGTGGAGGCGGAGGAGCGCACGCGGCACGTGACGAAACGGGTGGTCAAGAAACGGGTGTGGTGTGAGGCGGGCAGTTTGGGTGGATGTCCCGCGGCCTCGCCTCCGGAGTCCCGGACTCGGTTGATATTACAGGCGCCGGGCCCGGCCGACCCCCGCGCGCGACGGCCGCAGCACCTACTCCGTTTGCGCTTGTGACGCGCGCGTTTGGTGCTGTGGACTGTATGTCCACCGGTTCACGAATCGCTCGGCGCAGCGCGCGTCCCACCTCTATAAAGGGCAGGTCTCATGGGCCGAAGAGGCCACCACCCCACCCCCACTTTTGCTGCTGCGGACCGCGCCTCATCGCGTCCCGTCTCCACCCGCGCCTCTCCTCTCGTCCCGCGCCTCGGCCGCCGTCTGATTCCGGTGCGTAATCCCGCAAATCATCCCCCTTTCCTCTGTCGAATCGAACGAATGGGTTGTCCACCTCGTCTGCCTGCCGGGTTTTGGCCGTCTGGGAACCTCGTGAGGTGGGGTTGGTTTGTTCGGTTTTTACTCGCCGTCTCTCCCGTTCATGTCGTTGGCTGACGGACTGAGTCATCCAAATGAGGATTGATGATGAGTCGATTCATTCCCCTGCCTTGCGAAATTGCTCCGTTTTCAGTTGCACGGTTACACTACACCCCCTCCGCTGTTCTTGGAGCGGGGAGCCCTGATTACTTTCGGACGATACGCGTGACGCCAACTTTTGTGGTTGTTGGATGGATAGGGATAGAAGTTAGATGCAGTAGTACCATGCGTCCTTCTCTGTGCTCTCCCGCTGCACTCTGTATAGACATGGTCCGTGTGCGATTGTGGACGACGGCTCATGGAGTCATGGTCACGGCTCGCCCCTGCTGTCTGTGTGATTTGGCAGCGTCTGCAGCAGCGCGAAAGTATTTTTGTTGTTTTCCCTCTTCTCATCCCTTTTCCGTGAGGGTTGTGCTTGTGCGCTGCTCCCGAATGGGCGACTTGGTGGCCCTATTTTTTCCAGGTCATCTGCAGTACCGAAGAGGATATAGCTACAGTAATTTAAGTTTGCTAACGTGCTTTATAAGTACTTTAGTGAGCAACGTGCTGCTTTTTACTGCCTATGATAAATTTTAGGGAGTGATAGTAGGTGACTGAGAAATAACTAAACTCACAATCGCTTTTTTTTTACTGTTAGATCCAAAATCATGGATGATGACAATAAAAATCTTAAAGAAATCCAAGGGGCTCATGCCTCATAGCATCGATTGAGAGTTAACGAAAAAAAATCAATTGCCGTAGGAATAACTTTCCTAAAAAAAATTATTGTAACTGAAGTGCCGTAGCAATGAATTTTATCCGTTGAACTATGAACGATGAACGAGTGGTGGAGGGAATGTTATCATAAAGGATCTTGTTCCCTTTTTTGTTGGATCTAGAATCTAAGATAGACTGACAGTGAAATCTATCAACTCTGTGCCGATAGCATGATAGGTCCATTTTTGATATACAGTAAAAAGATGAAAACTTTGGAACAAAAAAACAGTAAGTTTTTTTTATGCGATAGAACATTGTTTAAGACGAAACAAAAGTTACTACTATCAGTTTGAAGCCACGTACGGCCACGAGTAAAATACCAATATCAGTGTCCATTCATGCCTTTTCGCAAACTTTGCACCTTAAATTGATAAGAAATTCATGCCATGTCGTTTTATAAATTCGTGTTGCTTCCACTGACTACTGCAGTGCAGTTGGAGGCTAGGAGGAGCTCCTCAAAATGGTGACCAACGTGGTGGACCTACGGTCGGACACGGTGACGAAGCCCTCCGACGCGATGCGCGCCGCCATGGCCGCCGCGGACGTGGACGACGACGTCCTTGGCGCCGACCCGACCGCGCACCGCTTCGAGATGGAGATGGCGAGGATCACGGGCAAGGAGGCCGCGCTGTTCGTGCCGTCCGGCACCATGGCCAACCTCATCTCCGTCCTCGTCCACTGCGACACCAGGGGCAGCGAGGTCATCCTCGGCGACAACTCCCACATCCATATCTACGAGAACGGCGGGATCTCCACCATCGGCGGCGTCCACCCCAAGACCGTCAGGAACAACCCCGATGGAACCATGGACATCGACAAGATTGTCGTCGCCATCAGGCATCCGGATGGGGCGCTGTATTATCCGACCACAAGGCTGATCTGCCTGGAGAATACCCATGCAAAGTGAGTTGCTCGAGCACCTGTTTCTGTTTTATAAAAATCAAGTTAATTGCTGGTCCTTGTGATGGGGAGGAGAGTATCATAAATTCCTGTACCTGATTGGTTTCTTGTTGTTTCTGTAGCTGTGGTGGAAAGTGTCTGTCTGCTGAATATACTGACGAGGTTGGTGAAGTTGCCAAGAGTCATGGTCTGAAGCTTCACATAGATGGAGCTCGCATTTTTAATGCTTCTGTGGTAAGTACTTGTAGTATGAGGCCAATGAGTATGGTGTGATTCTATCTATTACTACTAGTGATGAACTGGGTCCTTCAGAACTCTGAAACAAGTGTCTTTACAATCTGACAGCGACTGCTATTAGAATGAATCTGCCTTAAATTTTATTATGTGCTTAGTGTTCCATTATCAGAGGATTGCCGTCTTATAATTTAAAAGAACACATCACATGTTAAGTACTACTCCTACGTGGTATCCATGCATTTTTCCACTAAAATATTCGACGCATAAGGATGTGCATTCTGTACCAGCTTCTGAATTCATTGCGTTCTGTTGTGCCAGGCCCTTGGAGTTCCTGTTCATCGACTTGTGAAAGCTGCGGATTCAGTCTCGGTACATTCAATTTGCTTGCTACCATGCTTATTTTCAGCTCACTTTGAATGGGTCACAGCATAACAGCAATTTCCTCTCTGAATTTTGCACTGCAGGTGTGCATATCTAAAGGGTTAGGCGCTCCTGTTGGATCAGTTATTGTTGGTTCGACGGCCTTCATAGAAAAGGTCTGTTCAATTCTGTTTGTTAACTTGTTACCTTAAACTGCAGATGGGATGTAACGATGGAAATATGAACAATGCTTTCAGGCTAAAATTCTTAGGAAGACACTAGGTGGTGGAATGAGGCAAGTGGGAATTCTTTGTGCGGCTGCCTATGTTGCCGTTCGCGACACTGTAGGAAAACTTGCTGATGACCATAGAAGGGCTAAAGTTTTAGCAGGTTTCATGTGTTTTCCTCTTGAATCAAAATTCCCCTTCTGAATTCTTGTGAATCACACTTAAAGTCCTGACCTTTTTTTCTTTCATTTGCTTAGATGGTCTGAAGAAAATCAAGCATTTTAGAGTTGATACAACTTCAGTGGAGACCAATATGGTTAGTCTGCAAGATTATCTATCGAGTATTCTTGTTTTCCACTATATTACCTTTAAACATCTCACATGGAAAAATGTGCTGTGCGTTTCTAAGGTATTCTTTGATATTGTGGATTCACGCATATCACCTGACAAACTGTGTCAAGTCCTTGAACAACGCAATGTGCTTGCCATGCCAGCAGGCTCGAAGAGGTGAGGTTAAATTCTGTCTCAGTTTTTATTACAAATTACAGATGCCCAGTTCAGCCTGTTACACAGATCAATACCAGTTTCCAGTTGATTATTTCGTCTAAAAAAGTTAATCTTAGAGAGTCACTGACTTAATTTTATCCAGTTCTTCACTGTCCAGTAATTCCTAGTACAGGCATAGTGATTCTTATGTTGGCCTCTCACTGAAGATCTGGATTGTACTTCATACATCAACTATACTCTTAACAATCCATTTTGCACTCCCTTGATTTGCAGCATGAGGCTTGTCATCCACTACCAAATTTCTGATAGTGATGTTCAGTATGCACTGACATGCGTGGAGGTATACAGAGATAAATTCCTTTGCTCTTTTGACCTCTTGTAATATTGTTCATGGTTCACTTATTGTGTGCGTAAACTGCATATGACTGATATGGTCTTCTGTATGCAGAAAGCTGCTGAAGAAATACTGACAGGCAGTAAGAAGTTTGAACATCTGACAAACGGTACTACCAGGAATTCATACGGGCACTAGTAGATCACTCCTTTCGTGCCCACTGATGCATCAGTCCAGCGTCCAGCTTGCTTGTCATCTCATGACTGATGTACTCACAACTTGGCTTAATAATAACTGATGTTCACTCTGTTGGAATGAGCTGTTACTATGTGCGCGGTGGTTCACCTTCAAATAACTGCCTTTTTCTGTTCTTTTTCTGAAAGAGTGCTATATTTGAAAATGAAACAAAGGCTAACAGAAGAAAATTTAACAAAATGAAACAAAGGCTAACAGAAGAAAATTTTCCCGGCTAACAGAAGAGTGCTATATTCTTTTTCTTTTTCTGTTCCTTTTCCGGCTGCACTTGAAAATGAAACAAAGGCTAGCAGAAGAAAATTTAACAAAAAGTCAAAACCCCATTTGCAAAGACGAAAATAACTGAAAAGGGCAGCAAAAATAATACTAGCTCGTAGCATTGCAAATTCAGTCGACTGGGATTCCCAGTTTAAGGCAAACAGGGCCTTGAGTTTCGGAAAACAGTGCTGGACCTATAATGAATTAAGGGCATGTTTGATTCAGCTTAAGATTATTATAATCTGGATTATTAGGAGTAAGTTGAAACAAACAGATAGCTTATTATGATAGATTATTATAATCTATAAGCCAGATTACTATAATCTGGTAATCCACTCTAAAGATTCTTTTTTTAGATTATTGGGTGGCTAACAGCTAACAAGCAGCTAATAATCCAGAGAAACAAACAACTATATCAGCTTATTATAATCCAGCTTATAATAATATAGCTCAACAATGTAGATTACAGTAATCTTAAGCTGAAACAAATAACGCCTAAGTCATTGGACCGGCCAAGCTGAACTATTCGTTGCTGTTCTGCGTAATCTCTGTTTGTGCCCCTACCAGAGAAGTGGACTCCAATATGAACCAGAGAGGAATAAGTCTATTATCTCCCTCAACTCTTGCTCCTGTTTTAATCGCAACCCTCAAACGCAAAACCGAATATAACACCCCACCCCACCCCTATTTTTAAAAACTTGTGCAAATCACCTCCTTCAGCAGTTTTGAGAAGCGGTTTTTGCTGACGTGGCTGGTTGACCGTTGTTGACTCGCCGAGTCAGCATGTGGGACCCACATGTCATAATCAAACCGGTGCAAGTCACCTTTTTTTTGTGTTTTGTAACCACCTCCCCTTTCCAAATTAGACATCACGCACTCATTCATCGAGTGGTTCCCCTAGAGACAAAGAATATTAAGCTAGTGATTACCTGCGAAGCATAGGTGCCAGCGAGGCTTATGCACGGCGTCGACCGATGGCCAACCTCGTCCTACTTCCAAGTCTTCGGCAACCCAACTTCGCCGCGGTCTTCTCCGAAAGCAGCGGCGGCACCTCGCAAGCCATCCGGCCAGGCACCAGCAGCGGCTTTGCCGCTTTGTTGTCCATCGTCCTACTTCGTCCTACCTCGTCCTACGGTGAATGTTAGCAGGAGCGTGGCGACGACAGCGAGGCAAGGTCACCCCGTTCGTGTTTTGCATCTAGAACGCGAAGGTGGAGGCGCACCACTTCCTCAACAAGTGTATCACAAGTCGCAAGGGCCTCACCGGTGATATCTTCATGTACAACAGTACATGTCCGTCAACTATACAGCCACGCAGGGACACAGGCACGCGGCGGCGCAATAGCACAGCTCGCCAGCCCGGTGTCTCGGTGACGGTGGCATGTCGGCACAACCACGGTGCTTTCTGGCCTTCAGCCTTCTTCTTCCCCATTTCCGGCCTCTACGGAGATAGCGCCATGAGCCCCAAGCAGGCGGCACCCGCTGCCTCATCTCGATTCTCGCCTCTCGCCGACTCCCTCACCTCCCTCTTTGTTGGCCACCACCACCGCTGTAGCCTTGCCCGACCGGTGGTTTTCCTTGTAAGGATTGCGCGGCGAGAAAATGGGGCCTTATTTTTTCGCTTATGCTTATGCTTATCAACCAAAATTTGAATTTTCAACCTTAATTTTGGAGCAGATTTTGAGGTTTTTTCATCGAAGTTTATTTTTCAGCCTTTTCTTTTAGATCGTTAAGAACACGCATATAAAATTTTTATTCACAAACTACTTTTCGTTTGTAAATATGCCATTTCTTATTCCGCGAATAAGCAAAGCGATTGCTCCGCAAGCTCGCCATCCTCCCCCCGCGCGCCACCTATGCCTCTCCTCGACTACCTTCCCACACGTAATTGCCCGTCGCCTCTCTTCCTTTGCAGCTTTACCACCGCGGACCTCGCCGATGTCCCTTCTCTTGCCGGGAACTTCGCCAGCACGGAGGAGGAGAACTGCCGCCACATCGTCGAGATCCTCTCCTGCGGCTGCAACCCATGCTTGTCGTCGGGCAGTGAGAGTGAGAGAGAGAGAAAGAGAAATAGGAGGGAGAAGAAGAGAAGGAGAAGGGAGTCCGACAAATGGGCTCCACCTCTTTTTTTTTTTTTTGCCCTTGTCACTTACATGTGGGACACACTATTTTTAACTCCTCTGATGATTGGGATGCCACGTCAGCACACTTAGACCAAGTCAACCTAACCTGCTACATCAGTAAAAACCGTTTTTCAAACCACCCAAAGAGTTAATTTGCACCTTTTTTTCAAGTTAGAGGAGGTGTTATACCTGGTTTTGCTATTTAGGGATACAATTTAACTAGGAGCAAGAGTTGAGGGAGGTTCAAATAAACTTATTCCATCCAGAGATGACGAAAGCTCTGGCCTCTGGGCCTCATTTGGAACACGGGAAAAACAACCGTTCTCTCTCTGACGAAATTTCGTTCATGACATGGCCTTACATTTTTCCATTATTGGTGCGTTAGGTCTCTATAAAACGGGAAATGCTGTCCTGGACATCCTGTGATCAACAAGAAAGGTCGTACTACGACAACTACGTAGCTCGCTCCATTTCTGTAGCGTTTCTCCGTAGTCCCCACACATTACCTGTTTTTTCCTTTTCCCCTCCTCTGCGGCCCTGCCCTTCACTGGTGCAATCATCAACAAGCCCACAGATATATCCTTGTCGTTTTTGGCACAGTACGTGTTGCTGTACCCTGCATCGCGCCAGTGCAGGGCTCTATACTGTGCCAAAAGATGACACTGTCCACCACACATGTTTGCGCCACCGGCCCATTGATTGGGACACGGTGAACAGCACCCGTTAGGCCGGTAAGGACAGGGAACACGCATGGCTCGTCAGCTCGGCGCTGTGCGTGCAATGCAAGCCACAGCCAGCGTACGTGCAGCGCTACAGCTCCCAAGCCTGATCCCGCGTCTGGATACGCCGGCCGGTGGTCGTCGGTTGATCAGTGATCCGCTCCGCTCCGCGGCTCGCGATCAGGCGCGAGTGACGAGATGAGACAGGCAGTCGTGCACGGGCGGATGAGGAGGAGGAAGAAGACGCGAGCGCGCGGGAGGGAACCCCCGGTCATCAGGTGTGCTGCGCGCCTAGTCGCTAGGTTGGGTTGGGTTGGGTTGGGGGCGGGGCGGGGGCCATGGGAAAAGCGTACAGATCCCGTGACAAGAGATGCCGACGATCTCGCTGCCGCCGGCGCGGGGCGCACCCCGTACGCGCGCGTGGCCCACGGCGCGCCACCCGCCGCCGCGGGACAAGTCACCGAGATGGGCCATGTATAGTCAGGGGCCCTGACTTACCGGCCGCGTCCCGCCTCCCCTGTCCGTCTGTTTCTGTGAGCGGGGGTGAAAGGTAACTGAGGCCGGCGGTTGGGACATTTAGGCCCTGTTTAGTTCCCACGCAAAATCTTTTTACCCTGTTATATTAAATATTTGGATACATGTATGGAGTATTAAATATAAAAAAAATTAATTATACAGATTACGTGTAAATTGCGTGACAAATCTTTTAAGCCTAATTGCTCCATGATTTGACAATGTGGTGCTACAGTAAACATTTGCTAATGACCGATTAATTAGGCTTAATAAATTCATCTAGCAGTTTATAGGCGGATTTGTAATTTATTTTGTTATTAGCCTACATTTAATACTTCAAATGTGTGTCCGTATATCTGATGTGATACATCAAAACTTTTCACCCCTGAAACTAAACAGGACCTCAGACAGCTTGATCATTTCTTAAAAAAAAAGCGAAGCCAAGAGATGGCGATGGCCCCCCGCTCCCTATTTCCCTGTGGTGAATTCACCTGTTAGGAGGCGAGATTGTTAGAACTAGTTCTTTAAAAGGAATTAAATAAGAGGAGTCATCTCCCCGTCGGGTTTTATGGAGGTGGGGATTGTCCTCCATTTCTTGTTTCCATCCGCTACGGAGACCCGTAGAAGGGTCCAAGTTTAATTTTTTTTACTTATCTTATGTGATTTTTTTAATTACATGGCAAACACACACAACACCACACTCACACATCCGCGAATGCGTCACCTACACATGCTCTAAGGGACGGAAACTAGCAGCACATCCCTGATCTCACTAAAGTGTTGAAAGCCCACCTACATGTGCGTAATATTCGTGGGCACTAGGATTTGAACCATGATGGGTAAATTTATGCACCCACAACTCTAGCAGACTACCACTACACCATTATGCTTCCCTTATCTTATGTGATTATATTCCTTATAATCTTTGATAAATGATAATCTTATATTTTTATCATGTAAATTAGTACATATATGTCAATACATTAATATAAAGTGTAAATATATGTGTTGCATTGCATATATATTTGGCATGTATATACTATTTTAAGTGGGACGAAGAGTCCACGAGGATAGATTCACCATGCGGGTCAAAGATAGGAACAAAGTATCCACCGTTGTACAACGCGGGGATGGGAACATGGAAAGTTTTGTCTCGCGGGGGCGAGGATGGAGATGCATTCCCCGGCGGTGAATTTCCCGTTGCCATCTCTGGTCCTGTTTCGAGGGGCTTTTAGCAACTGCAGTTTATTTCAGGATTTTTGTCTTTCTTAAACCGTCTAAATTTTCGCATGGATTCTTTAAAAGTTGTACTTATAAAATCTAGAAAATAAACAGTATTTATGGTTCTGATTAATTGGGTACTCAAAAATTGTTTGTTAGAATCTCAAACTACTCAAAACAGAGCCTTAGACTTTCTCCGTCTGGTCCCCCACTAGTGCTAACTGCTAAGCACCTTGTCCCTCTCCTTTCAGTAGACCCATAACTGATGACTCATGACGGCCT